TTTGCTATTGTCTATCATGTGTACTTAATGCTCAGTTTATGGAAAATGTGATAGTCCTAGACTCTTCTTAATCTATCTCCTTAAGCCTAGCCAACAGTCAAAAATAGTTTCTACTCACTTTACTACACTCGACATTGGTTCTTTCGTTAATTTTTATGGATGCCCAATTCTTACGCTTTTATGTAAAGTCTATAGAAATTCACAAGAGCCGACATCTTGAATATGAGGAACGAGTGTAGAAAACTGAGTAGGAATCAACATTAGAGGATCGCACACTAGCATATTTGTATAAAGAAACAGCTGCTATCGAACATACTTCCGGTAGTCAACCAAATCATGTGATGCCTCATTAAGATGACAAGGTCAGGAGCATGAAAAAGTGATCAGGAATGCAGCCGGTCATCTTTTCTCTTAGTTTAGTATATTTATGCTCTATTTTGTAAAGTATAGAGCCTGATGATATCTGTCACAGAACAGACGAAAGTTTAGCACAGGTCAATCTGGTTCGCAGGACGGTGAGTCGAGGACTTATAAGCACAATACCCACATAGTCTTACAATCTTCTCAACTCAGCAATCTTCCTTCAGTTTTCGGTGCGAAAATATCAGGATTACCTTCTAACCAATTTTTCCTTCGAAATGGAACGTCATGCCATAATAAATCACTTAAGAATTCTTCTAAACCCAGTTTTTCTTCATAAGGCTAACACATGACTATAAACAAAAAATACTTCCTTGACCAAGATCTAAAAAGAAATGAACAAAACATCTTAAGACGGTGCAGACAACGATGCAAGTGAAACGTCTGGCAATGTACCAAGTCCCAGGTTAAACGCTTGGTTACAATATAACTATCTTAGAAGAGGAATTCCGATAAGATGCGTTCAACTAGATTTATCTAACAACGCGACCAAGTAACGAAAACGGGGTCAGACCATTGCTCCACAGCGAAAGAAGACTTCGAAGAAAACAGAGGCCACACATTGCTATTCATACCTCACGAAAATAAAGTCTGAAATCGCTTATGTAGACCTTTTCATGCGGCAGAGGAACAAAGATTCTAACAAGTGAATGAGAAAAAATTAGCGATTAAAGACTCACAGATAATCGAGGATTTCCAGCAGATGGATGTAGAATCGCTTGTGCTGGTGGACCAGGAGCAAGGCCAATCACGGGACCTGAATGGGCTCGGAAAACGGCCAAACAATGAAGTTCGCGAACGCCATCCACTCGGTCTAAACGATGTGCATCGACGGAAGGATTAAGGTTCCAAAGGCGGACTGTAAAATCAGCGCCTCCAGAAACCAAATGAGCAGGGTTGTAGAGATAAAACAGATTCTGAAAAGGAATTTATATATTGGAATAAGACATAGAAAAAAGGAGAAATCGGGCAAAAAATGACAGCAAACTAAACCAAAAAAGACATTTAGAGTATGCAAGGTCACAAATCACACCTCGACAAGGTCAACATGTAAGCTACGGTATTGTGGAATTTGATTGATATACACCCAAATGTTTACGGATCCTCAGAGGTGTGAATTCACGGCAGAATCGATAAGGGTTGGATGAAGAAGGGGAGATCGAATGGTGCATATCTTGTGATAAGATTGGAGATAGATCAAGAAGAGCTAAGAGATGTGGTCAAAAACGTATACAATTTGGCAAAGATAATTTCAGGATATTAAAGTGGAGATCAAAGCAAACTTAGAAACTAAAATATGAGATCTATTCACCCTATTTGGTTTAAGGTAATGAAGGACTGGTGGTAGAATTTTCCCACAATGATAAGAGTAGAACTGACGTTTCCGTTTAATTTCACATAGCCTCGTTTTCCCAAAAGTTGTTTTCATTCAGAGTGGACTGCAGTTTCGACCTTGCATAGGTCTTATCAACAGTGCAGCATATGAGCTTGACACGTTAACTGCTCGGCCACATTGCCACGAGTGTTTTTGGGTCTGCTTATATAATTTTAGGAAAATTCTACTACCAGTTCTTCATCACCTTAAAGCAAATATGGTGAATACATCTCATATAACTGATTCACTGGTAGTCTCGAAACTCTACTTATATACGAAAATTAAGAACTACGAACACATTCATATCCTTTTCACGCATCAACTTCATCATCCGCAAGCACTTATAGTAAGCATGAAGTAGCTATTAGCTTCGGGAAGATCTCAAAGATAAGAAGAAGAATTTCGGCCGACCAAAGTTCCTGAGCGAATTCGTTCGTGAGTCATGTTTTTTGACTATAGCATGTCAGTAAAAGGACAAATTAAAGTTCACCGCGGATTAATCAAGGCCCCAGGATATAAACCAATGTCTTTTAGGTGCACTGTAACAGTCACAACTGCAAAGCAATCGTCTGGCCTTCGGAGAGGCTAATTCACGATCTCGCTCACCCCACCATTTTAAGCAAAATGAAAGATATACCAATAGCTTATCCTTCTTGTATATCACAATTTATAGAAAATATTTATAGTTTATTGAAATGTCATATAGAAA